CTGGCCCATGTTCATGATTCTTTCATGTTTTTGTTGAAGGATTGGTCCATGATCTTTCCCTTGGATCCATGATGCTGTCCATGTTGAAAGATCCATGAATCAAGGAAAGATTCATGAACCAAGCCTGATCCATGAACTCCCATGCCATCAGTTGCCTCAGGACTTAGGAATGACAATTGCCCCAAGAGACAGTTTTACTTGGATGGGTTTGCCCGGGGGCAAGGCTTTGACGCGGCAACCTTGGAATATTTGTTCCCTGGGTTCATGGATCTTTCCTTTGGTCTTTGACAATTTGAGAGGGGATCACTTTCGGGTTACCACCTCCGTTTCCTGCCAGCACCATACCCAAACGCAAACACAGAGATGTCTCTTCGAATCCACACCAATATTCAAAAAACACACGCAGATGTCTCTTCGAATCCACTCCAAAAGTTTCGGGGTTTGGAAGGATGCACTTCCTCATGGCGTCCATGAGCCCGCTCTACTTTGGCAAGGACCCGCGCTTCGTGTCCCGAGGCCATGCGCAGTTGCCGGCCGATGTTCCCTGTCTGGGTTGACGTTTCACGGGACCCAGTGGCTTCAGGTGTCGTGGTGTCCCACTAATTACGGGTTTTAAGAAGAACCCAGGTTTGAAGACGTTTGAAGATGACCATGATGAACCTTTTTGAATGAGACTGAGGATGACCATTCCCCTGTGGTTTCCTTTAAGGGGCTCCCCAGATTCATTCCCCCATTTCCTGAGCAACAAGTTTTGAAGAGCCCAGGTCCACGGAACCTGCCCTTGCCACGGCCAGCTTGGAAGCCCTGCGAGGCTTCCACCAGATGTTCTCCGAGGTGATCACTCAGGGGAGTCAGCTGATGAACGTCGACCCCAGGCGCTGCGAAGTGTACTCGCACGTGTCCGATCCCAGCTAAACGAGACCTGCCTCTTGCTTTTTGGGCTGCAAGATTCCTCTGAACATAGGACCGTTTTGGAGGGGGTCCATGACTGCATGATGGGAAGAGGGACAAAAAATCCAAAAGCATCCCCTGCTGGCAGCTTCTGCCAGGGGCAGCACCTACATGGCCTTGGCCTTTCTGGTGCGTGGCTCTGCCTCCATTGCGGACGTGAATCGCAGCGGCCTCAGTCGGAAAGCGGGGGTGGGAGGTGTGTGATGGGAGGAGCGCGTTTTTTTTTTTTTTTGTGGGTAAACGCTTGGCTGGAGGGGCTTGCTGGAAGGCCTGGTTGGCTGGCCGGTTGGACGTTTGGACGGTTTGGTTGGTTTGGGTGGGTTGCTTGGGTTGGTTTGGTGTTGTTTTGTTTGTGATTCAGTTTGGTTGGTTTTGGGCGGTTGGTTGGTTGCCGCCTGGTTGATGTTGCTGCGGGGCAGGGTTGTGGCAATTTTGGAGTTCAAGCAGGCCCTCGGGTTTGCGCCGCGGGTTGGCTAGAGCCCAGTGGGATTCAGTGTGACTCGTGGGTTTAGGGTTGGTGGGCTTTGTTTCGCCGAATTGTGGGGCTAGTTTAGCATTTGCAATTTGCAACCGCGACGCTGGTGTCAAACCTGGCGAGAGAGAGCCCTCAACCAACCCTGAATCAACAGACACTACTATTAATTTCACCGGCGTCAGCCAAACCGCATCCAATCCTAAATCAAGAACATGCCATCCCCAGCCTGGTGAGCTCCTAAACTGCCAGAGCCCTGACTGAAGCAATCGGAAAGTTCGGATTTGAGGTTGTTCAGACAGGGACCTTTGTCAGAACCAAATTTATTATCCGAGTGAAAGAACTAGTTGTCACTCCTTGGTTTTCGTATTTTTCTACAGTGAGAAACCTAAACCTGCTGTGAGATCCAGCAAAAGCGCGCCAACTGATTCTGACTCGCAGATAGCCCAAAGGAAACATGACACATGCAGCCGCACAGAAAAAAACAGGTGAAAGCTGCGAAGGCTACTGGGGCCAAGGAATGGAGCAGCAAACGGCGGATATTACGGGCGGGTTCGGCGTGGGCACAGACCCCTTTCCACTTGAAGCGTGCGAGGTAACATATTTCAGCTGCGGAAGAAGCTGAAGCTGCTGCCTTTCAATGAAGACGCCTTCAAGTTCCTTTGCTATATTTTAACTTCTCCCCGTCAAGCGAGTAGCCTTCGTCCCCTAGTTGGGGGAGGGCAGTTCAAAACATTTAGTGTGCGTCCAAGGGAAGCACATCCTCGTTGCGTCTCCTCACGGGCCTCAACTTCATTTGGGAATGACTTCTTTCAGCGTACCCGTTTTTGGGGGAGTGTTTCGAGGGGATGCCAAAGGGTAAGCAGCCATTTGGGAGGTGTCACGCTAAGCCATCTCAATCTTGACCGCTGGAAAGCTCAGGATTGGGCTCTGCAAGGTGGCTCCTCGAGGGCTCCCGTACTCGGTCCTGCATTTGGGGAACACCTGCGCGGCGCATCAAATGTTCAGCCACACTGTGGCTTGACTGGAGCAGCCGTTCGTGTACTCGGCTTTCTTTTCTTTTCTTGTTTTGGGGGGGGGGGTTGGGGGGGAGGTGGGGCGCGGGGTGAGGTGCGGCTAGCAGGAACCTCAGGTCCGGGTCATTGTTTAGGGAAGCAACCCAAAACGCCACGGTTAATAGACGCATGCCGAGGCGTCCGAACACTTGAGAGCGCTCAGGTCAAGGACTTTTCGCGGCTCTACACGCGAAAAGCCCATGTGCATCACTACACCGAGTTCATGGAGAAAGCCCAGTTTGATGAGGCCTACGAAACGGTGAACACGCTGATCAAGGACTACATCCACCTGGATATGCTGAAGCCTGTCTGCAAGAGTTGATGCTGGCGCATGGGCGGACGTTTGTGTGCCAGAGACCAGATAGTTTAGCCTATGGCTGCTTTCGCCCCAGAATAGCCGCCAGCATGTCTCATGTGTTAGTCATTGTTTACCGTCTCCCCCATCTTTTCAGCGTGAATTGCGTACTTGTAGATCAGCAGTGAGGCACGAGACGCCGGCTTCCTGTTGCGCTGGCCTCAGAGAGGATTCCATCAGGTGTAAAGTCTGTTCGGATCGTCAAAACTGCAAGAAAGGCTTCTTTCCAAGGTGTGTGCGGCATGCCTTGTTTGCACGCAATGGGCATGCTGATTGCCGTGTGCGTTTTCAATCTCGGGCGGTGGACTCATCGGCACGGCAACTCTGCTCTTAATATGTAAATTGCGACATTTGCAGACACGAGCACTCATTACTGCATGCGTGCGCATAGGTCATAGAGTGCGCATGTCACATTTGTTTGCACGCATATATTTGAATGCTGGCATTCACCACACACACACATTGGATGTATATGTCAATTTCTATGTACACACATAAAGATGCGCATCTACAATGTGAACCTATACCACTGAGCAAACTAAGGAATTTTGGGAGGCGGGTCTCCTACAGCAATTGCATTCTGGATTTCTTGTTTTCTTGCCTTTGGAGGCTGCCCCACTTCCGCCCAAAAACAGGAGCAATTCACATCTCCAAAGATAAATTTCCCCCGCCCCTCCAACCCGCCTTCCCCTGAACCCAGAAAAGTACCACCACACATCACTTTCTTGAGACATGTTTGTGTCTATGTTTTTTGAGAGGCGTCTACAGTATGTGGATGTTTCTCAAAATCGGGACTGCACGTAACTGGTTGCCTTTGGGTTTCCTTTCTAAAGCCATCCAAAATGGGGTCTACTTTCAAGTCACACCCGTGGCAATATGTAAATATATGTATATATAAATATCTATATAGATATAAATGTCAGAACCCGCCGGCCTTGGCGCGAGTGCCGAACCCGGCCTTCGCTTAGAACGAGGCCCCGCACCCCCTCCGGCGCACAGCGCCAGCGCGGTGCTGGCGCCATCCTCTTGGGCAGCCAGCGCCGCGTTGGGAAGGGGTGGGGTTTGGGGGGAGTTCCGGGGGTTGGGGTGGCTGAAGTGGGAAGGAGCTGCGGGGCAGGCTATGGAGGATGGCCATGATTTATGATCAGGTTGGATGGGCAGGCTTTCAGCTGCTAAGTGTTGGAGCTGGACAACCGACAGCTTCCAATGTCCAAGCATTGCCAAGCCAGGGAGCGCAGACGCAAATCGGCTGAAAAGCCACACCAAATGGCAGCAAAGTAGGGGACGCGGAACGTTGGGGCCAGTGGCGGAACGCAAAGTTCATCCGCTTGCCCATCCACTTGCCGCTGTTGTGGCTGCCTGCAATGCTGAGTAGATACCCAAGTTATGAAATGGGTGGGGTTGACCTCCCTACATTGTTCAGACATTTTGAGCCTTACAACATGGATTGAGCAAAAGATGCCATCATTTTGTAGAAGCTACAGGTTTCTTATGCTCTCTGCATAGTATTAGGGCTCAGGGGTTGGGCCTGGTTGTGTCATTTGAAAGTTTTGGAACATTGGTAGGACCCAGCCCATTTGCGGAGGCCAGGCAAGGATGCAAAGGCTTTATGCGTTTGGGGCGTCTGCAGTGTGCACCGGATGGTGCTTCTGTTCCGAGGATCCGAAGCAAACCACCCATAACCACCCCACCAGATATTCCCCGGCGGCGCTCGGGGCTGTCACCAAGGTGGCTCTTCGACGTTCCTTCCGCGGCCGCTTGTGTAGGAGAAAAAGGACAGAGGCGCGAGCTGTGGATACTGTGGCCAGACCACGCTCCCGAGAAGCACTCGTGAGGCTTGTGTCATGTGTTTGGGCAAGTTATGGCAAGTTGTAGCGACGTCACAAAAGACTGAACCTCAAACAGAATGCAGGCTTCGGAATGCCGCAAGCAGGCAGCAAGCAAAAGGTTCAATTTTGCAGGGCGGTCTAACTGGCGCCAAGGTTTGGGTTGTTTTTTGACCGCGAGCGGAAAGAAACCGGAGGTCAACCTCCGGTCTTCACGCCGGAGTTTGCCTTTTGAAAATTGGGCTCCCCCAAAAAGGCGTTCTACGTGTTGCTTGATTTCCTCAACAAGATTCCAAAGGAAGCTTAAACCCTCCGCTGGCTCCCGGGCCTTGGTTGCTGAGGCCCATCCCTTCCATTCGCTTTGAGATGGACGCAGCTGATGGAGGCGGATGCCGGCGCCATGTTCGATGTTGACTCTGGATGAATCAGCCTGGTGAATAGGGGAGGTGCTTCATTTAGGTTATTCATCTTGTGTTCTCATTGTGGTGTCCAATGTCAGACATGCCAAAGATCCCAAACAGACGCAGGACCTCCCCAGAACCTCCAGGAAGCTGGCCCCGGGCACCCACCCACACCACCCACAGAGGGCGCCAAAGGAACATCCCGGGCGGAGATGAACTGGCGAACCTGTACGTGGCAGCACACCGAGTCCCTGTTAAAAGGTTTCAAGGGGAGTCGGCAGTGTGGCCTGTATGCATGGGTGGCGCATCCTGCTCAGCGTAGTCCAAACCAGGAAAACAAACCGCATCGCAGTTATTCGCAGGTCTTATTCACAAATCACTGGCCTTGAGCCATGTGCGCCGACGGATTCCAGCCGTGAATAGGTCGACAGCGGCCCACGCCGACGGATTCCAAGAAAAACACACAGAAGACACCCACCAGGCGGGCGCCTCGCGCGTGGAATTCGCGTCCTTCGCAGGCACCTTCAACGTGGTGCTGGAGGCGGAGGACTTTGCGGAGGCCTCTCCGGGCGCGCCCGGATGCCTCCGGTCCGTGGGGTTGGGCGATGCGATGTCTTGACTCTGCCTTTTTGCGGCGACAAGTTGGAATTCAGGCACCCCTGACTGGCGATCTTGGACCCGGGTCAAGTTGGAAGCGGGCGCGCGGCGCGCATCGCTCGGGGCCTGGCAGGTGAAGGGCAGCGACTGCGCCTTTGCTTTCCAGCGCGGGGCCAAGCGGCATGCGATACCGAAGTTCGGACAGCGCTGGCCCACAGTTTGGGTGAAGAAAAGCAGCGGCGTTGCGCATCCATTGGGAGGTGTGCATGGCCTCGTTTGCCTGGCCTACCAAAGGGTGATGGGTCACTTCTGAAGCTTCCGATACCGTGACTCACTGCGAGAAAACATGTCGTTTTGCTTGCGTTGCACCCACTGTTCAACCCAACTCCTACTAGTATAATCAGTATTTTCCAATTTGTTCCCCAATTCCCCCGAAATGTACTCGTTCCATTTAGGTAGGCCCTGCCCACTCGGGCAGACGGTCACGACTGAGGCCTGTGGATTTGCCGCCCAGCCTTGGGCCAATGTGGGTCTTCGGGCAGACCGCTCTGAGGCGTTTGGGGCGAGAGACGAGAACCCGGTGCTGAGAGGTGAAGCTAAAACTGCCCGAAGAATTGGGCCGGGGAAACGTCCCCCCCCTGGTTTGCGCGATATTGAATTTGAGGGCCGCCGGGACCCTTCTCCTGTTTGTTGTTTCCAGTCCAGTAGCGGTCTTCGATGGTGGCTAGGCTGCTGGCGTAAAGGGCGGCCTCTGACGCGCCGTCGCATCAGGAAGTACTACACCATCTACGATGCCAAAAAGTGGCAGGTCGGTATCGGCGGATGCCTCAGGGCGTTGACAGCCAAGGAGACCAAGTCGAGGGAAGCCAAACATGTGGCTTTTTGTCGGTTTCTATTTGGAGGCCAAGCCCCCCTTAAGTGAAGCACTGCCACAGGTCAGGGGCGCCCCTTTCAAAAGTAGTTGTACGCCCTGACCTCCCTCCAATCTTTCTGGTTATCCTGCGTGTCCCCACATGTTACCCGGGAGTCCCAGCACCCTTTTATTCTTGGGGAATTGGGGGAGAATTGGGGAACCCATATGTAGATCCTTCCCTCGTATGGAGAACGACAGTCACTCCTGAGGCCTGGCGAAGCATTCAGCTCCGGCCTGAGCTTTTTAAATGCTTCAGACTAGATGCAGCACGCATGTGTACCGCCACATCATGAGCCATGAGTGATGCATTCCCTTTTTCCAACACATGCCCGCTTCCTCGATTCCATCCTAGTTGCGCAAGCAACCCCGGCCGACGCAACGCATTGACACCCGTTTGGAAAGGGGCCATGCGGAGTTGGTGTCCAGCATGTCCTAGCAACTAGGGCGCAGGGTTCACTTTCCAGGATCAACCGTGCCCATCGTGCCCCTTTGCTCATATGCAACAGGACTGGGCCACATGTTCCGACATGTTTAAGCACCAGTTGTTCAAATGGCCCGCATGTGTCTTTCCATGTGCCTAGACCTGGCTTTCCCTGGTAGCCCCCGAGTTGTAAGGCTTCGTTTCTCCGTGGGTCCAAAAGGCGTCCAAAGCCAAAAAAAACACGGGGCCGGCTCAGGGGACCTTTGTCGAGTGTCGTTTATGGAGGGCCCCAGCTTTTCTGTTTTTTCTTGACTGCTATTGGGTTGGATCTTTAGACTTGAACTTTTCGGTTGAGATCAAGGGGTTTTCCACTAAACCCCCCAAAAGTTAAACTTGTTGAAGGGGGGTCAGCAGCAACCAAGTTTTTCTTGGTAAATGAAATGGATAGTTGCCATTTTGGCGGGTAAAAGTCCAAACACTGGGCGGACCGAGGCCAAGAAGCGCCAGGGTGCGTTGGCTCAGGCTGGCGCCACCGATGCGCCGAAGAAGGAGCCGGAGGCCGAAGCAGTCGGGAGGTGACAGAATTGTTTTTTTGGTGGTGCCCAGCCATCCTCTCAGATGTGTTTCGCTTCTTAGTGTTGAGTGAAGTTGAGTGGTTGGATGTCCATTTAACCCACTAAAAGTTAGTCGCTTTCAGCGGGGGAGCTGAGGACAGCCCATGTTCAAGCTACTTAGTAGGCTTACAACTTATGAACATATGAACATGGTTATGAGCTGTGGGGCTGGTTGACAAACGGTTTTAGCCTATTGGTTCATCCTTCTGGCGGCTCGCGCGCGGACGCCCAAAGGTGGCCCGCATGACTTGTCCCATTGAAGGGAGAAGCCAAACGATAGAACTACTTGAGAAGTCAACATGTCAAGGCGTTCTCCAAATTATGGCGAGCAGCATCGCTTTAAATCACCAGTATGAGCGTACTTTTGAGTATGTGACTTTACTGACCCCAACATGGGTGCTTGGTGTTTGTGTGAGTGTGTGTGGAACTTCGTCAGTGACACTTCAAGCAGTCAGCGGCGTCGGTGGAATTAGGTGATGATTAGGAGTGCTTATCAAAATGCGTAACCGTGTTGACACTGATTCGAACCCCGTCTCCAACCAAAACGGACCACCCCACTAGAGACGTTTGAGGCTCTGATTTTCCGCATGCGTGGCATCGAAGCAGCAAAGCTAAACAGGACCTCCGCAAGCCTTCCGGGAGCCGGCTAGAGCCGTGCGGGGGAAGAACAACCAGCCTTTTTCCCTGGTGTACCACACTATCTAAGTTCTGGATTCATGTAATCCCGTGTGTAAATCAAAGAGTGCAAAGGCGGTGCTCTCCGAAATGATGCGTCATTGATGTTGAGTATGCATTTGCAGAGGGTGTGCCTCTTACACGTAAGATGCAAAGTGCTGACGGGGAACGACCCTAGGCTACGTGTAGATGTCCACTGCTTGGACACACAATCGACTTCTTGGACACACAATCGACTTCTTGGGCAGAGTTAGTCACTCAAACAACTGGTCAATGCTGCTCGGGGTGTTGGATCTGACCTCTTGGCAGGTTTGCGAGGATGACAACAAGAACATGGCCCGGCGCTGTGTTTTAATCTGGGTTGCGCTCTTCGATTGGTCGGCACAGGTGTGGAACCATCTTCCAGGATGCAAGTCCTTTGCAGGATCCTCAGTCTCGATTTCGAAACCCTCAGTGTAGAAATGATGTCGAGAAGGACCATGCAAATTTGCCCAGATCAAAAGGCAAAGCCGGCGTCATGTTCTGAGGGTTCATGATTGTTTCAGAGCTGTCCAAGGCTTGCGGAGGCTGTTCTTTCTGAGGATTTTTTCTCAGCCAACAAGCTCATCCAACCCATGCAGCAACCAACCCATGCAGCAACAAACCCGCCAAAGACAAACCAGAATCATCGGCCTGGGGCCGAGGCCTCCATGGGCTATTGCCACCGCTTCTCGCCGCTGGCCAGCCGCTGGGCTCAGAATCGGCCATGCGACCAGCAAAGAGTCATCCCCATTAAAATAGGTTCTAAAATGGGTGGTGAATTCACCTACCCCAAAATGGTACCATTGGTTTTGACCCACAGCCCAATGAGCATGGCACACATGAGGCGTGTTTCCCCATGCCACTGGGGGATGATCAACAACCCGCCCAGTCGCCCAGTTGTTTGTTTTAGGCGGGTCCCTGTTACGTGGAGATTCCTTTCTTCCAGGCGGACTCCCCCAGTCACCGGGAAACTACAAATGGCCGGAAGCTGGTTGGAACTGAGACCCCCCCTCTTGCAGATGAGGTGAGGGGTGTCCAGAAAGCCAAGGAAAGTACTGCCGCCTGTCGTGCGCGCTCTGCACAGTCGGCGACGCGCTTCTGGCTGAAGTTGCTTTGCATGAGCCACGGTCCACGGTGAAAGTTCTTGCAGTGGCAATTGCATGCAAAATCGAGCGTCGTTGCCTTTTTTGGGCCGTGCACGTGGTGTATTCGCAAGATATGGTCGAACACCCAATGATGAGTGTCATGTTCCCCACTTGCATTTTTGGGACACCAGCCGTTGAACTTTGTCAATCATTGGGCCGCTTGCCTTTCCTGGCCTTCTGGCCAGGCTTCGGCTGTGGAGCTGGTCGGCGAGAAAGATTTGCAGGCGAGCCACGGTGGGATGTCAAGAAATCCCCAAGAAGGTCTCGTGATGGCTCCATCCCTTCTTTGGGTGAAAGTAATGTTCCAAAACTCTGCGCAGAAGAAACGAGTGGCTTCCCGGAATTCTGCCTTCGTGGAAGTTTGCTTGCATTGCGGAGCCCCCTGCGTCGCGGAGGTTTCTCGTGCGTGGGCTTAGTGAGTTTGCCCTTTGACCCTGCGACCGCCTTTTGTGTAGCACCTCGTTGGACAAGCATTCTCTCTTTTGCCTCATGGTTGCTGGGGGGAGGGGGAGTGTGACCCGGTCCCTGCATTTCCCGTAGGAAGTATAGGGCGCCCGGTTTTGAGCGGATCGAAAGCTGAGAACGCTGTGACGCAAGAGTAGGTTAGTTTTGCATTCGGTCAACTGCGCTTTCGCAGCGGCAACCCTTCCCAGGCCACTGCCATCAAATCGGGGCAGGGCTCCAACTGATTGGCTTCACAAGCGAGCAGCGCCCAACCCCATTCGCGATTCTAGCAGGTTCTACCTGGTGTCATGGGGTCACAGCCGATAAAAGTCTGCGGGTTCAGCTCACCGCTTGCTCCAGGAGAGCTCCTCCGCTCCGGTTCAAGTACCGCCCTCGGCGTGAATTCTGTTGGGTGCCTCTTTTTGGGGGGGCCCTCCCGTGTGGGACTGCGTCTTCTGGCCCCTTTTGGATTGTGAAGGGAAGCCAAAACAAGAATTGGTAATTAGGGCCCTTAAACTTGAGACAAGCCCAAAGGGCGATTTCTGTATGGAGACTGGTGTCGAAAACATGGAAGACCCTCTTGGCACTGACGCTGTTGAAAGTATTTTTGGGTTGTGGCCAGAAATATGCTGCATGACTTTGATTCATGGAATGTCATTTTGTTTATCTTCCCTGTTGGTGTTAAAAGTAGTGCTCGTAGCCTTGCTATCTATGCTACATGTACTTTCGACATACGCATGCACGTGTATACGTCCTTTCATGTCCATATTGTTTGACATTAGATATCGATTTCCCGCCTGAAGCAAAAGCTCGGGCCCCGGGCGCAATCCAGGTGGCTGGCTCCGGGATGAGCATCTCCGGCGCACGCCGTGGTGCCAGAGCCCCTGGCAGCTTGGGTTAGGTTTGCATGGTCCCCACTAAAAGGAAAATAGTCCAAACCATAAGGTTCCATGTTCATTGGTGGGAGGGTAAACTCAAAGGGCTCGGTGTGTGAATTTAAAATCCTAGCGCCTGCCTTGAATGGCGTGGTTGGCAACCAGCGTGGTTCATGTTTTTGCTCGTGGTTTGAATCCGATAGGCCACATATGGTTCAGTTCGCGGTCGGCAATGGGCTGGTGTTTGCTACACAATGTCACCTGGTGCAGAAAGCCAGCGCCAGGGGGCCACGTTTGTTTCCTCGTGTTGTTCTGAGGTTGTGAAGGTGCGAACGCTCGGTCCAGAAGAGTCCTGCAGCTTGGCGCCAGCTACCAGTCGCAGGCAAAGGTTTCTGTAAATCATTTGCCCAAGGGTCGTCAATATGAGTTCCTGCACCCAATACGTAAGGGGGGCTGTCAATGAGCTCCCGGACCCAATACGTAAGGAGAGCCGATAAGTTCCCGGACCCAAAAAGCAGCTTGTTTTGAGTGCAGTCGTTCTGGCTCAGGAGCGGTGCAAGAGAGCTGGCAGTCCAGTCGGGTACCGACACTGCAGGCCACCCCAAAGTGACCGGGTGAGGCACGCGCAAGCGCGCATCGTCCTTGCCGGAAAAATGAGTTGGGGATGGACGTATGACGCGAGACACGTGAGCACGGACCGTTGATCGAGGTGCCATGTCTGATTTCCCTTGGTTTCCCCACGAAAGGTCGGAAGGGGATGAATATTCGACATGTGTTCATGTTGGGGGCCCCTGTGTAGCATGCCCTGACGTTAGCTCCTCGCCAGTCCTGCCTGAGCTGAGCTCCTCGCCTGCCTCTCGCGTGGCTCAGCTGCTCGCGCCCTGTCTCTTCGGAAGGGACTGATGCCCGAAGAGGCTTGCTGGGGGCAGCGGCAGGCGGTCGGAAATGCGTTTGGGATGTTTTGGTTTTTCTTTTTTTCTGACACTTGTTTGAGGGTAACGGGGTGGATGAGTGAGTCAAACTGTGTTCAAACGGTTTCGGGTATCCCATGGTTGTGGAAATGCAAGCGTGGGGTATTGGACTGCGCTTCCGACATCGGCCTGGCGCATGCCAGGAGTCCGGGAAAGTCGCGAACTCCGTGCCCAAGACTCGGGGGAGCAGTAGCCAGACCGGGATTTGAGGCGCCTGAGATGCGAATGTTTGAGACCCAAGCTTCCAAGACATGGACCGGGTCCCTTCCCTGCGGACTGTGCAGCTCTTGCGCCCTTCGGATGCCACAAGTCCAAACATCACACTCACGCGTCTCAAAACGGCGGCTCCCAAGCAAAGCTGTCCCCAGAAGCAACACTCATGGCAGACATGGCATTCGGTGTCGCGGGCAATCATGGCTGGCCGAACAACGACATCGCAGATGTGTTGCACTTCTTTGTCAAACAACCCCTGGGTTCAACGTATCACGGTTCTGTATATGAACCTTGTCTACATCTACACACGCACGTTTAGCATTCTTAAAATATTATGCACCTATAAGCCTGCGCGTGCCGTAGGTGTCCGCGTGCCCTCCATATTCGCTCGCCAGAGATCCCGAGGTCGGCCAAAGGAAAGGCTTCCAACGAAGCCCATGGCAGCCGCCTCAAGCACTTGGTACACAACGAGGGGCACGACTGGGTCATGGCAAGTTAGAAGTGACCAGTCCGAGGACTTGACTCCTTGTTTCCATTTACCAGGCTTTTGACCCCACACCCAAATTTATTTTGGTTTGTAGGGCTGTTTCCCTTTCTTTTATCCAGGTCGCCTGAATGGACCCGGTCAGAGCATGACCCAAGCAAGGCCACTTTGAGCGCACTCCGCCAAGATGAGGATACTTTGGGCGCACAACTGGTGACAGGGCAGCTTGATCTTGGCAAAGCTTTCTGTCAAGGTCCATGGTGCCGGATTTTGTGAAAAAATGATGTGCAAAGAAAGGACGCTTTATGGTTGGGAAATTTTGAAAGGCGTAGAGATGCTTGCAGCATCTTGCAGCTGCTACAGGCTTCGCTTGGAAGTTCTGGCAGTTGGCATTCTGTTCGTTTGTGTCCTCGCTGAGTCACCAGATGCCGGCAGCAGATTTCGGCGTTTTCCTTCCGGCTGCTTCAGGCGATGCAGCAGGATCCAAGGCCAAGTTGCACTCGAGTCTGCCACTATGTCCTGACATCATTGGCATGGCGAGCATAGGTTTGGGTGAAAGTAGATGGCACCGGATGGCACCCCCGCAATCAGGGTTCGTCATCCTTTTGACTTGCAGGCAAACAGGTAATAGTGTCATCTACGTTGATCCTGGTGCACTGCTTTACGTTGATTGAAGTGGTTTGGGGGGTCTCGGTCTTCCTGTGAAAGTGGCCGTTTGCTATCAGCGATCCGCAAGGTGTATGGAGGGGTTTTGGCAAAACTGAAAAAGCTTTTCAGGGGACGTTGGCCATTCCTTCCTTCCACGCAACAGTGGCAATCAGCTCCTTTGAGAAGCAACTCACGCAGATGCTTGCCTTGCTCTGGCTCCGAGACCCAAGCCATGCTTGACCTGTGGCATAAAACCACATGAACAGCAGCAGTTTGGCTTCGCCCGCCTTGAGGTTCCTGTTGGGATGCTGTTCTTGTTGAAGTTTCTCCTGACGTCACCGGAAATTCCTTTGTCAGCCCTGCGAGCAGCCCTGAACGGACAGTGAGCTTGTCATACACTCGACCACTCGAAATCGTGCCATGGCAAGATGCGGCTGCCAAAGGTGAAGAATAAAAACCCAGCGCCAGTGCAGGCGCCAGTGCACTTGCGCGTGCGCGCGCGTGTGTGGAGGTTTATGTATCAAGCTGTGCGGACAGTGCTCTCATGAGCCTAAAGGGCACAAGGCAAGCTTCATTCCCAGATTAGAGTGCAAGGGGCTGCTCACGTGCTGTGGCAGGTGACCGTGAATGACATCATCCCAAACGCAGGCCGCTGTATTCATTTAGACGCGGCACGGGCTCTATCCGGTGCTTTTCGACGCTGGAGGTTGCCTGACGGTCTGCCCTCAACATGTTCCGATGTTGTTCGCGGGCTGCAGGTAGGAGACTTGGAACCTGTGTCCTGCAGTCGCACGCGTTAAGCATCGAAAGCACGTCCGATTTCGTTTTAGGGGGAGCGCAGGCCTCCAAGACCAAGCGCACCTGAAGGAATGAGCTAAATGATCATGGGGCCCAAGGCTGTCAAATTAGTGAGGATGACCTCTGGGCTATTTGGAGGGCCATTGCGCTGGGATGCCTTTCTTGGAGGGTCATTCTGACACAAGGCTAACCAGCACTACTGGCCAACCACAACTTCAACTGGGCTTCCATAGTATTGCATTTGCTGCAAGGAGCTTCCAGACTTGGCTTGGCACTGTTTCTGGGGGTTTCCGGCCCAAAGCCTCTTGGCTCCAAGAAGGCCCTGTTCTTCAAACGCACTGACAACACTCTGACGGCCTGAGCTTTTGCACCCCTCCCTCTTGAACCACGTTGACCGGTCGAGGTATGTCTTTGAGACCCCGGCTCAACACTGTGCATATGTCTGCGACATGCGACACTGTGGCTCAGGGCCATGGGCCCAGCATGGGGACAGAGACCAGGAGGCCATGAGGCCAAAGGCCAAAGGATCAGCTTACAGATCAAAGAGACCCAGATGAAAGAGATCTGAACTCCGAAAGATCCAAAGGTCCCAACGTGAAGAATTGTCCAATTGCCATGCCCTGACTCCTCTCGCTGCGGACTGATGGAGTTCATGTGCAGCCTCCCAGAGGCTTGTAGCCAGGGCTGTGAGGAGCAGGTGGTTTGGTGGCTGGAGCGGGTTGAGCGGCAGCCTGCCTTCCGCTTGCTCCCTGCCGAGCAGAGCCCCTTGTGTCCTGGAAGCACCGGGATGGGCCAAAGTGCATTGCTTCATAAATTGTCTGGGCAACCCAGTGACCCTGGCAACTGTGTAGCTTGCCCTCACCAATTCGGTGTTTTGACAGCGGTTGAACCATTTGGCAAGGGGGCGCCTTGTTCTCGGCTTTCCGCACCTCAAGCCGAAGGAGGATACCCTGAAAACAGGCATTGGGCACACATATATATATATATTATGTATATATGTTCACGCACACATATACCTACTCTGTTGCCCAGTGGCGCCTTTTTGATCCTCTCTTTTGGGGAAGGGTTCCCCTTGAAAGTCAACCAACCAAACAAGGATGCCCTTTTTCTTTTTTCCCCATGGCCACTGGGCATCTCAAAGTATATTTGTTCACGCACACATATACATACTCTGTTGCCCAGTGGCGCCCGTTTTTCCTTTTTTGGGGGAAGGGTCCCCCTTTAAAGCCAACCAACCAAAAACGGATGCCCTTTTTCCTTTTTCCCCATGGCCACTGGGCATCTCAAAGTATATATGTTCACGCACACATATACATACTCTGTTGCCCAGTGGCGCTTTTTTTCCTTTTTTTGGGGGAAGGGTTCTCCTTGAAAGTCAACCAACCAAACAAGGATGCCATTTTTTCCCATGGCCACTGGGCATCTCAGCATAGACATGTACATAGCTATATATATATATATATGTATAGAGATATGTATATGTATATATATATATATGTGTGTGTGTGTGTTTGCGTGTGAGCATTTCCATTCTCCACTCCCGGAAACAAAAAGAACCATGTTGTATGTGCTGAGTGCGAATTTCTGCACCGACACTGCGAGGCACGTGGCGTCCATGCGGGGCCACGCGGGGTGCGTGGCTTTGCTGCTGGAGTGCGGGGCCTTCAAAGTGGACGAGGCCGACCAAAGCGGCGCCACGGCCATGGCCTACGCCTGCGAGAATGGGCACCTCGAGGCGCTCGGGGCTCCCGTCGGCTTCCTTTTTGGGCCAACTGCGCAAGGGAAAGATGTCTATGTGGCAATACAAGGGGGACTATCATAAAAGACTTGGCTTGGATTGGCTTCCCTCTCAGAGGAACACAATTGGTCCCACAATGGAATGCACACATTTGCTCTTGTTTTGGCTTCCTTTGGTTCAATGATCCCCTTGCCTTTGCCCCTGTCACAATTCCATTCTGACTCTCCGGTCCTCCGAAGGTTCCAGCTTCCCTGATTTCGCTTTGCAGCCCAGGCCCCGGCTTGTTTGGAGTTAAGTCAGGTGGGGCTGGGATGCATGTTCATTGCTTTATGCCGGCGAAAAGTGGCGCCCACACTGGTCTGACTCCAACATTTGCATTCACACCTTTTTTCCTGCCCAGGTGCCGAAGAACCCATGTGTTTGTTTACTTTCCCAAGGGGAGGCCACAGGGACAAATCATCCAATTGACGCTTGTTGTTTTTGTATTTTTCTCTCGGACCCCTTGTCACAGGTGGCCCTCAATTTGCTGGGTGGCCTGGAGACCAGGGGGTTGAAGAGCCCCTCCTTCTTGTTTAGGGTAATGGGTCCCCCCAAACCCCCCCGCTTCCACCACTCCAACCGGTCGTCAAAGCCAACAGCCCAGGTGGTGCAGCTCCTAAGCTCCTTCGGCGCCCGGCGCACGCATCTGCGAGACGCCATGGGGGGCTACTTCGCCTTTGAGGCGGCCGCCAACCACAGCCACATCGTCCAGTGGCTGGCGAGGACCGGGTTCGGGGAGTCCAAGAAGCCGAGGGTGGGGCGGGGTGGGGTGGGGTGGGGTGGGGTGGGGGGGGTGGGGTGGGGTGGGAAGGGGTGGGCTGAGAAGCCACAGGGTTTGTTCACAAGCGCTTCTGGTCCGAATTCCTGTGACTCGGCTTGCCGTCACAGACGTCTGGCAGAAAAGGGTGGTTTCCAATGACAGAGGGAGTCCGAGACGTTTCTACTTCACAGATAAACGGTGCCAGGATGGGGTATTTGTCCCAGTTTAGAGCGAACCCTTCAACTTATTTGGGGAAGGGGGGATAAGCACCTTGGTTGACCCTCAAACTCGCATGTGTCCCTTGTTTTTGTTGTTTTTTTGTGGCTTCAGAGCAATGCGCATTTAAACAACATTGTCAACATGGCTGTGTTCCTTCTCCTTGTTTTCGTGCTCATAAAGGTTCATGTTTGACACATTCCTTTTGCAACACGTTGCTTTTTGGTGTTTACTAATGTTTCAACACTCATCTTTAAACCATTCGTGTTTGTGACCCCCAGGACCAGGGACTGGTGCAGCCCCTTGCACCACGCGTCCGTGCTGCCGGCCTGCCGGGTGCTGCATTTGCTGCGCCAGGGCGCATCGCTCCACAAGCGGAAGAGGGACAGTTGTCCAACCAAAAGGCGTTGATTTCCTTTCTGGTTGGTTTGACTTTGTTTGGCTTGTGCTGGGTTTTGTTTTGTTTTGTTTTGACTTGGTTTGGCTTTGTTTGGTTTGACTTGGTTTGGTTTGACTTGATCTGCTTTGTGTTTGGCTTGGTTTGGCTTGTTTGGTTTGGCTTGGTTTCGTTTTTGTTTGGTTTGGCTTGGTTTGTTTTTTGTTTGGTTTGGCTTGGTTTTGGTTTTGTTTGATTTGACTTGTTGTTGTTGTTTTTGTTTGGCTTGGTTTGCCTTGGTTTGGGTTTGCTTTGGTTTGGGTTTTGTGTGGTTTGATTTGGTTTGATGTGTTTTTGGTTTGGCTTTGTTTGGTTTTTGTGGGTTGGTCATCCATCATCAATCCTTATGCCAGATGGTGGTGGCAACTTTGAACAACTTAAATTGTGTTTGTTCCTTTTGTGGTTGTTTCGGCTTGGTCCTTGTGGATTGTTGAATTATGGCTTCTGTTTTTGGACCTTGACTAGTTTAACCTTTGACTTGGTCGGCGGTTGGCATGGGAAAAGGTGAGCCAAATTTGGAGCTTCCGCTATGTGTCTTCAACTTGCCTTTGGGTGTGAGCAACCCTGGCAGTGCTTGTTGTTTGAGGCGGTTTCCTTCGTTTTGTCGGCTTTCGTGTTGGCCCCCTTTAGCATTTCAATGGTTGGGTGGGTGGGCAGGTGGGTGGGTGGCTGGGTGGCTGGGCCAGGACCCCACCAAGCGGTGCGTCTCCCCTCTGGAGCTGGCGGAGCTGGCAGAGGCCGAGGAGGCTGAGAGCTGCCGTCTGGTGACCCTGGCTGCGAGGCCCTGGTCCGTCAGCACCCACCGCCTCTTCCCGCAGCCTGCGCGGAAGCTGGCCGGGCAGCTCATGGCCTT